ATGTATATGCCTAAAATACTATTTGCGCTTTTAGAAGTGCTACTTGCTAATCTAGATGATACTGGTACAAGAGGTATGAATGTTAGTTAATGTGACAATACTGTATATTTTCTAACTATCAATGATGATAATAATTGTAGTTATGATACTAAATGTACTTAATATTTATTATAACTAATAAACAGGATTCTAAGTAAAATTATCTAATGTTTCGTATAAAGTACTTAATTTTGAAATACACAAAAACATTGGCATTCAATTAGCGTATATAAACTTATGAGGAAAATCATTATTATTTATTTAACCATAATTAACTTTAAAACAAACTTTACAAACAATAAATTATCATTGTGAATTTTAATGGTTGTATTAATAATGTTCAATGCCATATAAAAGTATTCAATCTGTGTAAACTCAATATCCTGCTAATACAGAATAAAAGGCATAACCATTTAAATTTTATTATACAATTATTTAACGAGTTTAATTTAGCATTTTAAAAATTTAATTCAACTTTAACAAATCACAAGTTAGTCACAATATGTATACAAAAAGTGACTTGAAATACAAATCAGCAAGATCATGCGATTTTCTCAAACTACTAACTGTAGAGCCGTATCTTTTTTTATTTACAATTGTTTACACAATGAAGAGATCACTTACGGAACAACTGGTGATCGACAAGATATGTCTCAATAAATACCAATTGAATGCAACCTATTGTTCATTAATACACTCTATGGCCGACACCAATGATGACTATCTGAATATGAAGTCAGAGATAATTGACGATAAAAAGACATTTATGTATTACAACATGGCTTTAGTATTATTGCCTAACATTATCGCATCGACAATAATCGGTCAGTGGACAGACACTTTTATTAAGGCCAAAAAATGGACTATGATCGTCAGTGCTTTTACCATGGTCATTGAATGTGTGATTCTTATAGCGAATGACTATTGGTTTGACGAATGTAAATAAAAAAGTTATTTCACATAATTTTATTACAACAAAAATTAACAAAATTATTATTATTTATTAGCATATTATTTAGTATTAATATCGTACGTACCATGTTTACTATCGGGTGGTCTATTTAGCTTGCTCACTGCCATTTGGGCGTACATATCGGTCACAACACCAAAACATTTGCTAACCCAGAGGATTACTTTAGCAATTATAATTACCTATTTAGGTTTGTTATTATACATGTTTTCATTATATATAATTGTTAATTATTTATATTAATTTCAATTTGATCCAGCTCAATCTATTGGATGCTATACAAGCGGATATGTGCTAAGCGGTCAATCTATATTCAAAACAAAATCCCTATTCAACTATACGGGTATATTCATAATGTGTGGCCTACACCTACTTCTGGCACTCGTATGGGCCTTATTCATGGTGGACGAGGAGCGGGACATTAGGCTCTGGGAGTCGCGGTTCAGTATAGTGTCCGACACCGACCACAACACCGACACACAGACTATTGACGATCGGGTGAACCAAAAGCTACAGCAATACACAGACAATGTGGACAAACATCCGATGAGACTGTTATTCAATCACAGAAATGGACACCAGATTGGGAGGGCTTTGATTAAACGGCGGGACAATTCAGGCCGACTTCATCTACTATTGCTACTATTTGTGTGCGTGTCGTCGTATCTGATGTCACTCATGGGACCAGTTATGGTGATGAGACAGTTTGTCCATAAGGCCTATTCGTGGGATTTCATCACATATTGTAACGCAACGGCTGTTGAGTATCTGGTAAATGCCATCACCATTACACTTTTAGCAGGTGTACTAATCGGGGTAATTATTATTTAGTTACATATTTATGCGACAAGAAATTTGAAAATTATAATAAATATATTTATCATTTATTTGATCCAGGTGCTTAAACTAAGTGACATGACATTGGCGCTCGTAGGTTTATTATCACATCTCATTATGCTAATAATTAGAGGCACCGCGTTATCATCGGGTGGTTTCTATTACTCGTTAATACCCGGCTGTTTAGCGCCGTTGGCAATAATAGGCATGCGATCGCATTTGTCCAAAATGATTGAGGTGGGAGAAATGGGCAAAATATTTAGCGTATTTGCCGCTAACGAAGCGAATACACCGATGATGGCCGGCGAGTTGTTTGTACGTGTATTCGATGCTACAGTTAATAGTATGCCAGGTGCATTTTTACTAGTAGCCGGGGTCATATTGATTGGTCCCGTGATTGTTACCATCGTCATTTATAGAGGTACAAGCTCGTTGAGTTTTACTTCCGATAATAGTAAAAATAATAGTAACAAAAATAATGATAATGAAAAATCTAGTAATGTGTAATATAAATATCAGATTTATAAATTGTGAAGTTATAAGTTATACATATTTTAATCTATCTGATTAATTGTAAATATACTGTATATTAATTTTAATACTTGTTTATTAGATAGTTCAGTGTAAATATAATAAATAATATAATGTACTTTTGTATGATTACAATAGTGTAGATAATGAAAGTAACAGATTTAGATGTTATGTAAATAATAATAAATGTGAATAAATAGTAATATAAAATTAGTTTTATTAAAATAAATTGTGCCATGTTATTGTATTTTATTAACATTAATATTTATACAAAGGTTTCAATGATAATAATCTGAAAATTATTACTTTCATGATCATTTTAAAAATATATTTACACAAATACAAAAGTATATTAATTAGTTATTGTTAGACCATATTGATTTGTAATCTAGCATACTGTAAACAAGAATGTATTTTCATAGTCTAAATCAATGCAAACACAATGCTAAGATTAACAATCAATATGGTTGTAACAATAAAATAATTAAATGTAAATATATTATAATATAATGAAATTTATGTTATTGCAATAATATTAAAAGCGGGATATCATAAAAATATAATAATTATATTGAAATGTATGTTTTAGTTTGAATGTTAGCAGATCAGGAATTAATATTTTATCAAGCATAATAGCTTTTAGTTTGATTCTAAAATGTCATTTCAAAATGTTGTCTACATCAACAATAATCAATGTATTATTAAAAGCATTACTATTGAGTGGATTTCTATACCAAACCTATGAAATCAGTTTAATATACTTCTCATACGAAAAAAGTACCAATGTCATTCTTAGCGACGAGTTGAGTGTACCGGCGCTAACACTATGCGTGCCGACCAGTGCCCTGATACGACCGGGGGTAAAGTATAAATACTTTGACAAACATGGTCAATTTAGACGAGAAGTATTCGCCAACCAGTCTATGAATGATCAGATGAACGAACTCATAGACCATGATGAATTATTTGAATGTTTAATCCTATATAAAAATAAACGAGAAAATTGCGCGGACGTCGCCCCTTATGGCCGGGCGCTTAATTTGCTGAGTGACAGCTCATGTTTGACAATATTGCCCCAATGGGTGGGCGACGAGTCAAATGAACGGTACGAGACTAAATTCCGGAACCATCAAGGTGACATGGCGCTTTGGTTGACAATAACAAATACCACGATGATACGGTGGCTAAGTGTTCATGTGCATTCACGCCAACAAAGGCTACGAGATATAAACCGCACGGGCAACTGGGAGGGCGATCCAAATGATTATAGTGCTCTAACAATTACGTACCGGTTATATACTGTCCAATTAAATCACATGCTAAGTGGCAATAAATGCTTAAAAGGCCAAACGCTTGATAAGTGCGTAATGCGATGCATGATTCGCTTAATTGACCAAGAAAGCGATGTTTTTCCCGTTAACACGCTACTTTACCACGGTGATGATGGCTTTAATGAGCGGGGACGTTTTTATGTTAATAATTCAATTTCGTTCACTTCGTTCCCTAATAATGAATTAGATTGCTTAAATAAATGCAATCAAATTGAGTGCATTAAACACTATTATATTCCTCAATATAAAGCGGAGAATACATCACCTAATTTGCCATATATTGAAATTTATATAAAATTACCGTCAGATCCCGATATGCTATACGAGGTATCATTGAAATTATCATTTGAAGAGTACTTGGTATATATGGGCTCACTTGTGGGCCTATGGTTTGGTGTATCGGTGCTTATGTTTACTAATCTAATCACACAATTGTCCGACAAATATAAAATCTATGTCTGCAAACACCAGACCATTAATGTCGCTAATAATCAACACGTATTGAATGTAAACATTACAAATACTCCGCATTTAATACGTGGTAATTCTATTCAACCACTTTCAAACAAATATAATATTCCGCGTCAAAGACTACAATTGCCTAACAGTATGATTGCCGATAGTGTTGTGTAAACTAATGTTCAGCTAAACTAATGTAATCTCTAATTTAGGTTAATAATAGGGAGGGTTGGGGTCGGGATTGGATAGAGCAGATCGCAAAGTGTTATATTTTAAACCGTTATTATTTTCACCCTAAAAACTTTATAAACCCAATATTTCAATTTATAAATTAAATATCATACTTTACATATTATTCTACTTTAATTGCTTAACACGTATAAAGTACAGTAGTATACTGTATTAACAAAACACAGTGAATAGTTACTATTATATAACTATTTTCGTTATAAATACTTGACACTTATTAACATTAACCCCAAATCCTATTTTGATAAGTTATCTCCACAAATGAGTTACAACTAATACGACAAAAATGTATAACAAATTGTTATTATCTCCGATAACAATAATCTCATGTATGGCTTACAATCGTAACCACGTTTGGTATCAGTATTTTACCTAAAAGGTTATATTAACTGTAATTATAATCTACTAGTTTAATAAAATAATGTCAGTTAAAAGGTGTAATAATTATACTTTGTTTTATAAATAAAATTACAAATAAAATAAAGTAAAAATATATACCAACAATTTATAATAAGTTCCTATTTGTTAACCAATTATGACAAATACTGTAAAAACAATTAAAATTAATTAAACAACAACCTACCATGTGGAAAATATTACGGTTTTTTGAATTCATCTATCTACTCCGTGTGGAGCCATACCTGTTTGCGTTGACATTTGTATATACAATGAAACGGGAATTAACGGAACAGTTAGTGGCCGACAAGATATGCAGATTTACGTACAATTTAACGGCAACTTATTGTCAACACTTGCATACAATGTTACCCAATGACGACCCGTTGGACATGAGACACAAGATTATGGCTGACAAAAAACAACTCATGCTATATAAAACTGCCATGATCATTGTGCCATCACTAATGGCCACTGTAATAGTGGGTCACTGGACAGACACCTACATTAAGGCCAAGAAGTGGCTGCTAATGACCGGCGCTCTGGCCATTGTCGCCGAGTGTCTTATACTTATCCTTAATGACTATTATTTTGACTTAAGTTTGTATTTATTTTTAATACAAATTAATTTTATAAACATTTAATGTAACCATAATTATAATTGTATGATTATTTTGTTTGCACCTAGACAAAACATACATACTAATAGCATACGTGCCTGGTATATTGTCAGGCGGATTGTTTGCTGTGCTGACCGCTATCTGGCCATACATCGCGGTGACAACTCCGACACATTATCTCACTCATAGGATAGCGTGCGCCGAGATTATAAATATGCTGGGTAAGTTTTTAATTTAAAATACAATAATTTATATACATAATTAAAGATACAATGTAATTTGAACAGCTCAAGCGCTGGGCATATACGGAGGGGCCCACATACTAAACACTACCCCGATGTTCAATGGGGGTCAACTGCACAACTACTCCGGTGTGTTCACAATAGCGGGCACTACACTATGCCTGGCCTTTATATGGGCGGCACTTATGGTAGACAAGAAGCGGGACACCCGTGAGTGGGAGCGCCGGTTCGGCCGACACGGGGGCGACTCTGCGGACAGTTCTGCCGTCCATCACAGCGTTGAGCACCGGGTGAACGCCCGGATCAGACACTTTCTCGACAAAGACATTGTGCATCCGTTGAAGCGGTTGTTTAACATCAAGAATGGCCACAAAATGTTGATGTCTTTGGTTAAACGGCGGGATAATTACCTCCGCTTTCAGATCCTAATACTCTTCCTGTCTGTCATCAGTTATGTCTCATCCAATTTGGGTCCCATTGTCTTTGGCCAACAGTTCTCGCAACGCGCCTATCGCTGGACACCCGACCAATACGTCACGGCTTTTACGCTCGGATGTCTGGCCATCGCCGGCGGGGCTGCCGCTATCGGTCCCATACTTCTGGTATTGAGTTATCATTACATTTACTTTAGTTATAAAATAAATAGACATTTTATTTAACAATTAATGCATACCTCAGGGGCTGAGACTAAAAGACACACACCTGGCACTACTGGGTTTGGTCTCGTTTTTCTCGCTACACCTGATCCGTGGTATAGTGGTGTCACCCAATGGTTACTACTACTCGCTAATACCCGGGTGTTTGGGTCTGTACGCGATAGTTGGCATTCGGGCCCATCTGTACAAACTGTTTAAGGATCATGAGTTGGGAAAAGTGTTGAGCTTTTTCGCCGCAACCGAAGCCACGACACCATTGATTGCGACCGAAGTTATTAACATTATATTTGATGAGACGATTGGCAAAATGCAAGGCTTGCCATTTATCATAATAGCCGTTTTGCTCGTTATACCCTTCATGGTGATCGTATGGATCGATAATTACACCATATTGCCACATTTACAGCCCAGTGTTCATAGTGGTGGTACTAATAATAATGCAATCGATGTGAGTGATTGTGATTTAAGTAAAACTCGCACTAATTATGATGGAGATAGCAATGATAGCAGTACTATATATTAATTAATAAATGTAATTAATTTATAGTCATGTATGTAAATATTTAATAAATGATAAATTATTAAAATAGTTTTAAAATATATCATGGAATATTTATTTAGTGAAGACAAATAAAAATATATAATTTGCATTCTTGATTTTAAATATAAACTAAATTAAAAATATACTTTTAAAATCTATTATCTATTTTTACTACAATTCAACTATGAATAATATGGTTGATTCTTATCGTTCGATCCCTTCCCTATCCTCCCCCACTCTATGGGATTTAACATTAGATTACAATTTAAATTTATGGCTATACTTTACCATACATAGTGCTAAGTCTCTGGCAATGCTAATCCTATCGACAATGTTAAGTCTATGGTATGAATGGGCACATATGACTCTATGTAGACTTTAATACTAAACACCATTTTAACATTTAAACACACATTCCTGAAATATTTTGTAGCTTGAGCTTGTCATTGATGTTTAAATGATTTTCCAACACATGCTGGCGTCAAATTGATTTCACCGTGCGGAATAAGGGTTAAAATATTCTTTTATAGGGGTAACATGGAGATGCTTTAGCTTGAGTTTCTACTGAATTAAACAATGTCTATTAAAGTTTAACATAGGTTATAGTCTATGGCAATTCTAATCCTATGGGAAATGTTAGGTCTATCAGGTTCTAATTTTCACTACAATTCAGTATGAAAAATGTGGTTTATAGGATCATTCGGCTTTCTTTCTCCCCTCTCTTTTCTTCCCCTACCCCCAATTTATGGGATTTGACATGGGATCCTATGTTACTCATATGGCTATACTTGGGGAAGCTCTTATAGGTGTAACATTAGGACGCTTTAAAATGGGATTCCAGTTTAAGTCTCAGGCTATACTTTAACATATGTAATGCTACGTCTATGAGATAGTGATAACATGGGTAATGCTGTCTTTGGACAATGCTACGTCTATGGGAATAATGTTAAATCTATAGCAATGCTAATCCTATGGACTTCAATTAAATTTGTATATAATGGTAATTTATTCTTTAACCAATACCCGAATTGTGGTTAACGTATAACATCGCTGTGTGAGCCTTGTTTGAGTATAATATATTGGACAAATAAACTCGTTATTGTCTGACTTTGAAATCAATTTCAAATAACAAATAATAAAAACATGAAATTTATTATTATAATGAATGCAAAATGAAATGCATGATCAAAGTTTAAACAATAATATGTTTACCAAAATACAAGAATGACAAGCGATGCTATTGTGATACCACTCTCGCGACGTAAAGAGGATCTTATATACATCACTCTCATTACATTTAACACCACTCCAATAGGATTAAAAAAATTGTAAAACATTAACCCTATTATAAACAGACCCATTGACAAAAACTGTAATCCCATAGGATATTTTTGCTGTTGTATGGATATCTGAGCAATTTTATAAACTTTATTATTCTCAACTGAATTGTTTGTAAACATGTTGACGTTTAGAAATTTACAATACAGAAGATATTTGTTTGTATTTGTTGAAATGGTAATAGGCAATAAAAAGCATTAATTAATGATAAATAATTTAAACGCTTAGAATGAAATAATTATATTAAGTTGTCTTATCACGGATTGAATATGGTATTTAAGTGGAAGAAAATATTTATTTATTATATTTAGTTTCAATACATTCAAACATTATTATCAATGATGCATGCAATTGCTATATCGTTGTTATTAACACAATTTTATTTAATATACGGAGCCCACAAATTACCCGGTAGACTAAGTGATCAATTAATCAAGCTCGGGTTACGTAAATATGAAAACCACAATGCTCCAGAAGCCATAAAAGATGAAATCTCTGGCAATGAGTTACTAATATTTACTAACACTCTTTATGCTATCAGAAATTATGGCGATAGTCGTTATTTAACGTCAGATTGGCACCTTACAAGTGATGCATTGGATATCTGGTCAGATACACAATGGGTTTACTTCATCCGGATGACCGTTGGAATGGAAGGTTGGTATGGAATGGTATATGAGACTGGTTGGGTACCGGTTAAATTCAACAAATCACCAAATCAAGGCTATTACATTTTTAATTATTATTGTGGTATGTATTGTTTTTAAATAATAATCAAGTATTTTAATCGCAAATCTAATTTGATTTACTCAAAAGATAAAACTAAAAATTAATCAAATTTCACATTCAAGTTGACCACAAATCAGAAACGTATTCACTGACTTATGTTAAAAAATCTAATGAAAGTGTTGCATACGCAAGTGTTCCATGTGTGAGTTATAATAAATTCCTGGATAATTTAAAATTCACTGAAGCTGAACCCAACACCCATTGGGAGCTGATCGATATCTACAGTCAAATTGCACGATATTACGACGTAAACGTTAAACTTAGCAATTTTAAATACACTACTCCGTTGGATAAAGTACTGGAACAGCACAGAGAAGTTGACATGTTACAAAAATCCATCATTAACAACTGTAGTCCGGCCTCAATATCAGAAAAAGTAACCTTGGACAAAACAGTAACTCAATCATACACTGTGAGTGTTGAAAAATCTTTTGTATGGGCAAGCAGAAATACGAAATCTTTTGGAATCAATGCCGAGGTTGGGGCTGACATTTTTGGTATTCACGCTGGCATTTCCACATCATATGAATGCAGCTGGGAACTTGATAAAGAAGTTCACGACACTCATAGCAGTCAGGTGTCAACAACTAACGAACTGAAAGTATCGGATGAAAAACAGGTTAACGTTGCAGCAGAGACATGCGTAAGTGTTACCTCTTACGTTACTTTTATAAAGGGGTTACAATTGCCGTACACGGCAACAGTTGAGGTGTCTATTACCGGGTCTACAGGAATACCTATAGAAGCTGCTTTAGCACGAAAATTGGGAGTTCTATACTTTGGCGATCGAGAGTGGTATGGTGATAAAGTGATCACGTTTAACACGACTGGCGTAATCACAGCTGGATTTGGTATTGATTCATATACTGAGGTAAAGAAGGTGGGCACATGTCCCACTGGTAGTTCACCCGTGTACTTTAACCAAACAGAACTCAACTAATAATCTAAATGATTAATGTTGATTTTCCTTTGCTACAATAATTAGAATTATTTTAAATTTGTTTAAAATATTATAACCAAGAACAATTTGTTAACAATTAAAACTTATATTATAAATGAATAATTCTATAAATTACTTAGCATTGTTTATTTAATTGCAAGATATTAATAGAACTTTACATGCACAAGTATAATATTAAATATGAATATTATACAAATTTCATTTCTATGATTTTTTCAACAATTTTAATATGTATTAAAATATTTTAATTACACTTGCGTCAAGTCAACATTAAGATAAGCATAGCTTATGATTTAAACATTAATGTTGTATAAAACTGCCATGGTCATTGTGCCATCACTAATGGCCACTGTAATAGTGGGTCACTGGACTGACACCTATATTAAGGCCAAAAAGTGGCTGCTAATGACCGGCGCCCTGGCCATTATCGCCGAGTGTCTCATACTAATCGTTAATGACTATTATTTTGATTTAAGTTTGTATTTATTTTTAAAACAAATTAATTTTTAAACATTACTTATAATGGTATTAGTTAAAATAGTATTATAATTTTGTTTGCACATTATACCATATTGTCACATTTGCAGCCCAGTGTTAATAGTGGTGGTACTAATAATAATGCAATTGATGTGAGTGATTGTGATTTAAGAAAGACTCGCACTAATTATGATGAAGATAGCAATGATAGCAGTACTATACTGTATATTAAAATTAATGTAATTAATTATAATTATAAGTATGTATGTAAATATTTAATAAATAATAAACTATTAAAATAGATTAAAAATATATTATGGAATATTTATTTAGTAAACATAAATAAAATATATAATATGAATAAGTAATATTGTAAATTAAATTAAAAATAATTAACTTTTATAAAATATTATCTATTTTTTCATTTTCAAGTAAAGTTTTTATTTTCCACAACTAGGCCAACCGTTTGAAATCGATTTGAAATCGATTTTCATAGTTTTGAACACAATAATGACTATTACAACTATTTATTCATTTTAAAGTATTGCGGTTTGAATACCCCTTTGGTTACCCCTGTATTTCTTACAGTAACTGACATATGAGCACAACATACCTGTCCCGCACAATCCACCCCATTCGGCTCATATAGCCTACAATCCCTGTAATTGTCACCCGATAACCCGTTAACACCAGTTATGACATTCATGTGTGCATCACATGAACACACTTCTCATACAATACTTATATATCTAATACTGTATAACACTTACACAACACACGGTATATAAGCCCCGAACCATACATTGTATTCTCCATTGTTTTGTTGACTTCACACTCAGCCAGACCTGAGTGTTCGCAATGTCTGCAACTCAATCACACACCCATTCATACACTCATTCAATAAATGTTGTTTCATCGGCAATATGTGTACTTATTTGACCCATAAGTATGGGGTATAAGTAGCGACCGGTTCCGCATATTCCCGATCCCCGTTCAGTCCATTACTGACCGCTCGGATCGCAACAAAAGCATTAGACAAATATTATATGTCATCATTTTTTTTACTAATTCATGGTTTTTGGTTAGTCTGCATATTACATTAGTCTGCAATGACTCAAATTCTGGTTGCTCTATCCACAACCTGTCTAATACTTACCATGTGTTTTATCAAGGCAATTTATAGAAGCATTTATAAACATCGAGTATATTAATATTGTATATTATTGCATACATTGCACAGTATTGTACTTAATGTCACATAATAAACAGATGATAAGAAAATTATTGCCAACTGTTAATAAGCAAATATATTATTTTATCACTGATACATTATCAGCATGTATCTGTTTATTGTTTAATTTTTATCTAACTAACTATGAAATCTAATACTGCATTTGTTTAATATTAGTTGATGATAGTTTACTATTTATAATATAAGTTATATAAATGTGTGTCAAAGTTATAATATTTTGTGTGAACATTGTTATAAATAAGTAAAGTACCAATATGCAATTACTATAATTATCAATGTTAAATATTGCATTATATGAATCAATTAGCACAAGTGTGTCAAAAGAATCCAATGTTTGAATATAAGAAAAATATCTACTTGGTAGTTATGGTAACATTTTATGAATATAAACTATGATAATATAATTTTTATGATGTTTGAATATTCTTCAATAATAAACAATATTAATAAGAATACAACTTACCACTTGTTCGATAAGTAACTAATGAACCTATCTGTTTCAAATAAATATAAAATTAATTATTTTACATATTAATTAAAACATAATTGTTATACTTATGTACAATTATAAGATAACCTTGTGTTTCAAAATATAAAAGTTTGTTTTCGAAACATCTTTTATTTTGTGAGTGCTATAAGTTTTGCAACAAAAATGCTAAAAAATAACTAAAAATATAAAATTTTAATATTACTCGACACTGATGGCCAAGAATTGCGGAACAAGAATGGGTGCCACGAAATGGCAATCAATCTATTCATTCATAAGCCTATTAAATGTGGAGCCGTTTCTATTCGCCTATATGTTTGTGTTCACTATGAAGAGAGTGCCGACGGATCAGTTGGTTCAGGACAAGGTGTGCCGACACACGTACGACATCAACGCCACGTATTGCCACAGTCTGCCCACAATGTCCCCCACCGATGACTACCTGGGTGTAAAGTCACGTATATTAACTGATGTAACTCGGTTTACAATATACATGACCATTTTTAGTACAGTACCATCAGTGTTGACCTCCCTGTTCATCGGCTCGTGGACTGACACTTATATTAAAGCAAAAAAAGTGTTGCTTATGGTCGGCGCCGCCGCCGGTGTTGTCGAGGCTATGATACTAGTACTCAATGACTGGTACTTTGATTGGTGTACGTTTTAATAAGTCTTTTTGTTTAAACAATTAATGAATTAATTATTAACTAAATTAATTTATAACTTTTATGATTACATATAGCCTATTCAGTTCTTATAATCTCAACACTGCCGGCCATAACAGGCGGCGGTATATTAGCGGTGTTTGTGTCCGTGTGGTCATACGTGGCCTCCACCACACCTTCCCATATGCGGGCCATCAGAATGACATTCCTGGAGATTGTAGCCGGAATTGGTACGAGTGATCAATTTTAACCAACATTAATTAGCACAAAAATAAACCTTCTTAATTAAATACACCTAGCTCATCCGTTGGGCAGTTATGTGGGTGGTGTGGCGCTGAACACAAAGCCCATGTTCAAAACGGGTCAGTTGCATAACTACACGGCTGTGTTTATCATAGCCGGTGGCACCAGTTTGTTGGCCCTGTTGTGGGCCGTGTTTACCATCGACGAGGAGCGAGACATCAGGCAATGGGACCAACTGTTTCCGGCGACGGGTGAGGACATTATCACCGGCGGTGAAACCGGCGCTGAAGAGGATGTGTCACTAATAAACAAACGGCTCAAGAGGTTTGACGACAACCGACACAAACATCCGCTCAAATTGTTGCTCAACTTCGGTAACGTTAAAGAGATTCTCATCACGTGTTTTAAGCGGCGGCCAAACCGACTGCGGCTCCGGATATGGCTGTTGTTTTTGTCCACCGCTTGTTATCTTCTCTCACATATCGCTCCCGTATTCTTCATGTTTCAGTTCAGTCAACGGGCCTACGCCTGGGGCTCCCGGGCTTACAGTAACGGCTCAGCCATCGGTCACGTTGTGACCACTTTGACCACCACTATCGTCGCGCCGGTGCTGTTGAGGGTATTATTATAGAGAACTAATATAATGTCTATTATAATTAACCAATTTATTTTGCCCAGGTATTTAAAATGCGTGACAGTACACTGTCCATGGTCGGTTTGGTATCCAATTTTTCACTATATTTTATACGGGGTATTGTACTGACACCATTGGGCTATTACCTCGCGCTAATACCCGGCTGTTTGGCACCGTTGGGTGCGATCGGCATTCGTTCGCATTTGTCCAAGGTGGTAAACCCGGACGAATTGGGTAAAGTGTTTTGCTGTATGGGTTGCGCGGAGGCACTGATGCCATTGGTCGGGGCCTTAGTGTTCACGAGTATATTCAACGCCACCATAGACTCGGCGCCCGGACTCGCGCTTATTGTTTTGGCGCTCGTATTGATTGTGCCATTTGTGGTGATGGCGTGGATCCGGTGTTTTGTTGGCGACGATCCACTCCGTGAAAGGACAGGTGACTTATCGCTTGACACAAGTAATGCGTTTGATAAGATATGCGATGAGAATCAAGAGGGTATTGCAATTAAGGCATAAATAAATCATTTTGTTCAAATTGTTATATTGTTACTGTTGGTTTTAAATTTATGAATTTAAAATAAATTTATTTTAAAATGTAAAATATTATTTATTAAAAGATATTATACGTACAAGATGCTTGTTAGATGCTACATTAAATAAAATTTATAGTTTACAAAGAATTATTTGGGTTCACATTTAATATTTACCTGTAATGACGAGTCAATTGTAAAATATAACCAAAATAATTTCACTGATGGGTCTAAGTTTTAGTGTTAAAAACGATTAATTACATATAAATACTGAAAAAAGAATTATCTTTCTTACAATACTTGTAACTATAAATTAATTATATGTTTTATAATTGTTTTGTAGTTGTAACACTAAAAACAAGACCCGTTTTTTAAATACCGAATCGAAATCGGTATTTAATTGTTAGGTATTTGGCGAACACTAGTTTCGTTACTTTTTGAAAATACAATTAAAACATTTTTATCCAGCAATTATATTAAAAGTTTAAGTCTAATTACTACTGATAACGGCAACAGAAATGACGGCCGAAGTGCCGGTATATGTGTTGATGGGAACGTGCGGTTGCGGTAAAACTACTTACGCCGAGGCACTGGTCAAAGAGTTTGGCTGTCATTATATAGAAGGCGATCGCTTACACCCGACGGCTAACGTCAACAAAATGTCGGCCGGAATACCGTTGACCGACGAC